TTGTAATCATTATCTAAAACAGAAAACTTTCTCAAGTAGCATAAAGAGAAGAGACTCTCTGTTTGAATTTAACAAGTTACTCATTACATTTTCAGTTCTCACCTCATTGTCCCTCAGTAACTTATCTTTTAGTGCTTTTCCTAAATAATTCTTAATTTTTCTAGCATATTCTACATATTTACTTGTGAAGCACCTGAAACACATAAAGAACTAGTGCTTTGTGTAGTATCACTGCCTGTAATTGCAACAGATGGGAGTGAATTCAATGTGGGCTGAAGTTGTCAGAAAGGCATCATGAAAGAGTTGAAACTTTAGCTGATCCTTAAAAGAGGAATTTGAATTAAACAGGAGAGCAAATACTGCCAGTTACTGAACTGCTAGAGCAAAGATCTGCATGTATTCCAAGGACCATAAGGCAGGCTGTGGCCATCGGAAACTTATCAACTGTAGACAGTTCTGAGCTCCAGGCAGGGCACTGACTCAGCTGTGTTAAGCATTCATGTATGGAAAAGGAACCTGATGGGAGTAGCAGTTCAGAAAGATTTCCTTGGGTAGGTTCGTTAGTGTCACACAAATGCACAAAAGTTTGCATACAGCTTTAAGGAATTCCTCTGAAGGCCTGAAACTCCTCTGAAGGCCGGGTGAAGAATCCTTCAACTAGAGACCAGGGGCCCAGATGAAGAGTTGCTGAAATAGTTATTGAAAATGAAAGCTAGAGCTAAGATGAAAGCCAAAGATGGTAGCAAAGGCAGTAGAGACAGACATTTTTGAAGAAAAATGAACAAGATTTGTTATCTCATTGGATATGGAGATGGAAGAAGGGGGGGATGATGGAAGATGACAGTTTTGTAGATTAAAAAATTGTTATGCCAATGACTGAATTACCCATGGTCCATAGGGACTACGGCTAGTTCATGTTAGCCATAGTCTTACTAGTCTTACATGCTTGTATTCATAATTGAAAGTCCTAGAAAAGAAGAAGGAATAAGTCAAAAAACTCAAAATGCCTAAACATCCAAATAAAAAAAAGTTTCAGAACTTTGGGCTCAAAGAGAGCTACATGTTCAATTGAGCTCTGTGAGACAAGGCAGAATGCCTTCCTCATAATATCTTAAGCCAGGAATATGTTCTTTGAATTTACAACTTCTTAAAATAGGAGTCAATAAAGAAAAAAATGCAGCAAGTGTTTGCAAGTTAACTGGGGAGAAAGAATTTTTTTCTCCGAACACCACATTCAAGTTCTGTCTATTGACACTAATTTTAATATGAGTATATCCAAACTTGTAACCCGAAGAGGTGATTCTGTTATCCTTTATGTAAGTTAACTCATATCTGCTTAAATTTGTTATTTTTATGTAAAGCAATATTTTAATCAAGAAACTATGAAACAAACTGACTCTAAAGTTGGTCTGTACTTCATTTTCTTATAATCTATAATCAGGAAATCGATTCACTCCTGCTTTATAATTTTTGTGCCTTTAAGTGGTCAGAGGAATGTGACATCTGCCTATAGTCACGTCTAAATTGATAATTGTCCAGACGGAGAGTAATTTTAAAACATAGCATGAAAAAAGGTTGAATCTGTATATTAGAAGGTTGTTGAGAGGTGGTGTTTCCCACCTCCCGGACCCCTGAATTTAAATGTGACCATTCTCTTTGGTGAATTTATCATAAGGTGGGACAACAGGCTCGACACTGGCCGCAGCATTCTGAGTGAGGAGGAGGCTGCGGTTTCCCAACCGGTTTAAATGCAGGCTCTTCTTAGCAGTAAACCACACGCATGTATTCATCATTGATTTTCAAATGATAGGTTTCTATATCACTGGTTTAGGATCCACAGTCCTGCATTCCTGAATCTATATTATGCCCAAAGAATAACAATTTGGTGACTGGAAACAGAAATGGTTATTATACGGCTCCAAAATGCTAGCTGGCACAGTATGCTAAAAACAGCAGAAATTCACTAGCACAAGGCAGAATTTATTTGTTCTTAAAAATAACTTTATGCTCTAAAAATATGAATTTAACAAGTGTCATCATGGTTCAAAATATTTTACATTTCAATATGTAAACACCTTAAAAATACGTGACTAATCTTCTAAAATGGCATCATTTCCAAATAACAGGAAATATTCCAAGAGAAAAATAGAAGGCTTTTAAAATCAATTTTTTAGTTTTGAGGTATTTATTGAATGAAAAACTATAACGTATGTTTACGTAGTTTTTCCCGACTGCTGCCCTGAATCACTATTTAAAATGTGGGCAAAAAGACATAAGCTTTGTTGGAATTTCTCAGAGAGTTTACTGTAGAAAATGCTAAAAAAAACAACAACAACAACAAAAAAAAAAACTTTTCTCAGGGCCTCAGTGAAGCATTTCCATTTTCGCACACTGGCCCAGTGCTTGTCATATCACAGGACAACACATTTCACGAAGCGGTTTTACTTCCTTTTAGCAAAATAACTCCTCCATGCAAACCAGTATCGGCATCTACCGAGCTGGGGTTTTAGTTTCTTCTGATCTATTCAAGCTTCACTGCACTGCTTAACTGACATTTTTTTCCCCCTTCTTTTGAAATTACCCAGCTAATTTTCCATTTGATTGTTTATATAAACCAGATCTCACTCAGGCTTAATAGATAAGTGACATATGTCTTCAGTATGTCTGTCCATCTGACCTTCAGCTGACAGGAAAGTGTAGTGCAGATTTTGCCTTGATGTTCTCATTCCCTTTTTATCCAGTAGAATCTATTAATTCAAACTAAGTTGATAACATATTCTCAATAATGATTCCGGATGACATATTAAATATCAAACTCCTTTAAGCACTCCTTTTTGTCAAGCATTTCTCTTTAAAGTGAACATCCTCTCTTCTGTTTGTTTTTTCTTCGCTGAGAAAAGGTAAATGCATTGTTTCATGTAACCGCTTTTGTCACAGAATACTGTTCGAATTTACCAGAAAGAAAATTTTGGCTTTTGTAACATTTACGTAGCTTTAGAGAATTTGGCTGATTTTCCAGAAATTTTATTATAGAAGGGAATTTATCTTCAGATTCAACCAACATTTCTAAAGCGACTCCTGTGTGCTCAATACATGTTTTGGGGGTGTCCAGTTTGTTTGTCTTTTTACCCCAGGAACTAGAATAATTTTATTTATGATCCAATTGACAGACTTATCTTGTAGTTATTTGTTATATATACAGCCTGTTTATTCATGCATGAACTGAGACAGGTAAATGAATGGGATGTGAAGAACAAATGTGCTTTATGCAGTGTGCCTCAAATATATTTTGCTTCTAAAGATGTTCCCATAAATATGTCCTGAAATATACCTTTGCTCTGCCTTCCTAGTTCCTCATGGCCTCTATCTCAGGCCATCCAGGTGGCCTCCAGACCGGTCTACCCTAGCAGGCCTTATTAATTCCTGAGTATAGCAATGCTAGTAGTAGATCTTTCTGACCACTTAGAGGTCCTTGTCATACCTCTCCTCTGAAACTTTCATTTCCACCATATAAACCCAAAGCATTTCAGCCTGGAATTCAAGACCTCCACAGCCCAACCTCTGCATCCCTCCAGAGTCTCTGACACCCCTCTTTTCTGGGACGCCTTCTAAACAGGTTCCTCTCAGTGCTCCTTACCATGCTCTGTAAATTCCGACCTTAGCCGTTTCCTACCGCCCAGTCACAAGCCTGGAATATCTTCCTATGGCCTTTCTTTCTTCAAGGCCCTATTCGATTCCTGCCTCTTCCGTGAATCTTTTATCGGATAACCTCTTCTCTCTTGGGAACTCAATAACACTTAATCTGGATTACTCTGCAGGCACCTCATCCTACACTGCCTTGTACTGGTCTTTATGTTTCCCATGAGTATATATTGGATTACCACAAAGAGATTTCAGAGCTTTTCAAAGTGCATCCTCCCTGGTAGCACACAATCTCATTCATGCAGGGGTAATAGATACTTGTGTTTTGTAATGATGACAATAACAAAGAGGCTTAACTGTCTCCTTTAGAAAGTGTCAGAAAACAACTGTCTAGTTTCTAGCAAGAATTGTTGAATCAGGTAGTTGGTTTCTCTTATTCTTCCATCAGAGGCAGTGGAGGAAGTCGGCAGACGTCTCACTGAGTCCGCTGTTATGCCAGCTCTGCTGGCGTCTGTAATCAACTCCTCCCTAGCTCTCTTGGTCATATTTTGAAATAGGAAAAACGGAGACCTTGGGATATCCACTTCTCTGTTAGCAGGGTGCTGAATATCAGAGACCTAAGGAAACCCTTTCAGTCTTCCCGTTTAATGACTATTCCTGTGCCTTGGTGAATCAGCACTTTAGCGGGGGCATCATCACTTCATTTCAGCTCCAGGGAAGGAGTCTTGCTTTCTGAAGTTCTTTGTGAGCAGGAAAGCAAGTCTTCAGGGTTATACACTGAACTTAGAGAAGAGGGCAAACCAGATGGAAGAAAAACCATAGAGAGAATTCACTCAGAGAAAAGCGGAACAGAACAGCAAAATGTGTAATCGGCTTCCCCTCCTCCTGCATGTCCTAGAAATTACAGTCTTGCTAGTATGCCCTTTCTTCATCTAAGGACACAGACACACAAAATAAAACCCAAACCAATGAACTGAAAGAGTGAGTCACGCCAGCCAGGCCTCCACCAAGCTAGTCAATTAAAGTACAGGACCAGTCCTGTGCTTTTCTTAGACCTTGAACTACTGTCTGACTTTCTTCCTGAATATTTTTGACAGGAAAAAAAAAGTATATCCTAATTTCTGAGCAAGATAATGTATATTGGCTCTCTTCTCATAAAAAGTTTTCAATCTTCCTTCAGAGGACTTTTAAATAATTAATTGGGTTACTCGTCCCATGGAGGTTAAATCAGTCATCCTATGGTTTTGCAATGTATGTCTTACCATTAAGCTTTTGTTTTTATTCTCATGTTGTGTATTCTTCAGAAACATATTTGACCTAGATTTCTTCCTGAGTGCTTTATTGTTTTCTGTTAACAGGGAACGGGTATGGCAATCCCCGAAACTCACCAGGTCTGCTGGTCTCACCTGGTAACTTGAACAAGAATATGCAAGCAAAATCTCCTCCCCCAATGAATTTAGGAATGAATAACCGTAAACCAGATCTCCGAGTTCTTATTCCACCAGGCAGCAAGAATACGATGCCATCAGTGGTAATACAAAACTACATTTTAAATAAATATTGATAATGTTTTGTATATGTTTTGTTGTTTTTGTGTTTGTCTAACTTGATGAATTACTTACATTCTCCCAGAAAATTAACACATCAGTGCCACTGACAGAGCCTTGTTTGTATTTAGCTATTATTTCTGGTAACTAGTTTGCGTTTCCCTTTTCTGTATTTAAAAGCAAACAAAAAAACATCTAGTGATCTTCACTAGGTTGGTGTTCTGGGACAAGAAAAACATATTCTTTTAAGGCTTTCAATTTGTAGTTGGAAAAAAATCAGACACCACCATCGGTCAATCTCTGCGTCCCATAAGCAAAGTAATAATAGGTAATGAGGTACTTCATAAATGATATTTTTACAATATTTATGTCCTCAACTTGCTGACAATGAGAAAATACTTTCCATAATTTCTAAATGAACTTTCTCCTGTTAATTAGCAACTCCTTTCTTAGATGTATTGCAATGATAATATCTGATACATCATACGCCTGCGCACTGCCTCAGTTCATCTTTCCACATATGTGCTTCATGAAAATCACTATGTCTGAAAAGCAAATTGTGTTAAAATCCTAGCCATTTTAAGAACAAAGGTTATATTTTACATTAAAAAAAATTGTAACATGTCTAAGAAAAATAATAAGAAATTTTAAATAGAGATTATATCCCCAGACCCTACTAAGATGAAGATAATATTGTGGGACCAAATTCAACAACAAAGAGACTTACATCCGTGTTCTACAAATTAGCTTTGCTAAAGAGCAAGAACGTTTAAAACTAAGATTCAGTAGACAAATTTAGATCATTCTGCACACACATTTCTTTCTTTCTTTTTTTTTTCTCTGCTCTGTGGCAAGCTTCAGGGTAAAACAGTCCTGCGAGCTGATTAGCTTCTTATGGCACAGTGCAGATTAATTTTGAATATCAACCAAAAAAAATCACATAATATGCAACATTCCTCTCAGTAAAAACTGGGTCTGATAAATATAATCTTCTACAGGGCAACAGCCAAGCAGTGTGGGCCATGCATGGCAGGCCATCTCTATCAACAGATTTATTCTAGGTCCCTTAAAACTGATGCTGTCCCAGGGAATCTGGGCTGGGTCAGTCAAGTCCCTCTCTGGCAGCGAGATGTAGCTCCCTGTCCTCCAGCATGTGGGGTTTCAAAGTACAGTCTTTTTTTTTTTCAAAATGGGGTGATGAAATAATGAACATTGAGACACTGACCTGGGCTGAAAACTGGATAGATTGTCTTCACATTTGAGACAAACAGCTCATTAAGGGAAACAAAGAATGTCTTTGTAAGGATTTATCTTTGGAGTCTGGGTTTTAAAACTGTTTAAACTGTTGTGTCTATCGGAAGATGCTTTTCCTTTTGTTGAAAAGATTTTGCCCAATTATAAATATGTATGGACACTAATTAATAAAACTCCTTCCGCATGCTCTCAGTCTGAGGATGTCGACCTGCTTTTGGTAAGTGGTGAGACCGCTTCCCTTAAATGGCATGTGCAAAACTACTTTTAGGTAGAGGTCTGGTAGCTTTGATGAAATTGAAAGATACTGGAAGTCACCACAGTATGTCACCATTGATTATGTTTAAATTCCATTAATTTCTGGTATCACTCACAGGTGAAAAGAATGTCAGGTTTTTTTTTTTATGTTTCAGTATTTTTTCTGTTTTCAATATTTTAGGACAATTTATAAAATTCAAACACAAAAAAATTCTTTTATTATATAAAACTAAAATATTTCCTCTAGAAATTAAATTCTCATGATTTTATGTGATGGATCCTTTATCTCTTTACTATAAGGAGTTAAATATTCGCATTAGCTGCTTTGCCATCTAGTTTGAGGGAAATTTAGAAGAATCTGAACAAAGTGGTCAGAGCACCACCTGCTGGTCAGAATATAACATGAGCCCCTACTTATTTGCTCTCTGCTGCATGTAGAACTGAACATAAAAACTACCATGGTTGATTTTAATTTTTTTAAAATTTGCATTTGAATAAAAACTGAAACAATGGAAGTACAGTATACATATTTCATCAGTTTTCAACATAGTCTGTTTTTACCCATAATAAAGCTATGGTACTTGTTACTAGTTCAGTTGCCTAGGAGATACTGATGTAATGGGTTACTATGGCAACAGCTGGTCTCTTGAAGGATTGTAAATGATAGGGTTGGCAGAGTTCATAGAGATACATGTTAAATGATTAATTTCATGAGATTTGTACCAAGTTATCTCTCTATGTGCAAAACTAATGCTGAAATATAATATTTTTAACTTTTTAAAAAATTCCATCAATAATGTCTTTTTATTTACTTTAAAAGAATCAAAGGATAAATAACTCCCAGTCGGCTCAGTCATTGGCTACCCCAGTGGTTTCCGTAGCAACTCCTACTTTACCAGGACAAGGAATGGGAGGATATCCATCAGCCATTTCAACAACATATGGTACCGGTGAGTAGCTTTGTCGTGTGCAATTAGTACACTAAATACTTTTTATTGAAAAGCAAGATTAAAAAGTTATCTTTTACTCTATTAGGAAGCTTTATTTAGTATTTGCGCTGTCCACAGCACTGCCACATTACTCATTGCTTACTAAGACAAAGTGAATATCCACATTTTTCTTTCTTAACTGACTGAAAGTTTTATTTACCCAACCCTAGTTCAAAATAGAGAACAATTTCAAGAAAATTGAGCTATTTCTTTGATGTAATAAAAAGCTCACTTTCTCTAACATTTCTGCATCATCAAATATATACATACTTTTATACTAGATTGTAGTTCTAATGAACTAGAATTGCAGAATATGCTACTTTAAAGCAGTCATGGAATCGTTATTTTTGGTTTACAGTATATTTCTTTTAAAATTATCACTGATGCTTTATCTCCCCTCTCCCTAAAATTAAAAAAGTATAACAATAATCCTGATAGAATATTTAAGAAATTGAAAATGTTTATTGTATTTACCATTTGATAATTTCTAAATTTAATATTTTCCCTTGTTGTTTTATTCTTTAATCTAGAGTACTCTCTGAGTAGTGCAGACCTGTCATCTCTGTCTGGGTTTAACACCGCCAGCGCTCTTCACCTTGGTTCAGTAACTGGCTGGCAACAGCAACACCTACATAACATGCCACCATCTGCCCTCAGTCAATTGGGGTAAGCAATATTATTTTTATAATATAATTTTAGAATACATTTTAAATAACAAATGACAATTTCTAAATAGACGCTTTAATATCCCATTAGCAGATATAAAATTCTACTTTATTGAAATCCAAGTGTAATTTTCACATCAATACTTTTCAAGTAGCTTAAATCTTATATACTCGTTTACAGCGAGCTCTGTAATAATGAGGTAAATTCTTATTGTTTTAGGCTACCTTTGTTTCCACTACTGTCAGTGATAGAATTTTCATTTAGTTTGCACACAGTTCATGTGGGACATAAGAAGGCATTTATAGTATAAGCTTAATTTTTGAGATATTTAATAATCTTTCTCTTTTAAAATAAACCATATAGTTTATGCTAATGGTATCCCAATACACATAGGACCAACAAGCCAATTGATGCACAGGCTTCATGTATTTATAATGTACTCATAGTATAGTTGTGTATTTACAGATATTGTATGAAAATATATGTATATAATACTAATTAGTACATATAATACTAATTACCTAAATATGGGTATAAAAATAATTTTTGTTTTATGAAGTCAGAGGATGTGTCTTTCTGCCCCCTTGTGGTAGTTTTAAGATATGTCTTTATCGTAGAAATTACTCCTGTCACTTATGTATGGAAACGTTCAAACCTTTAAAAGCTCTGAATTCGCAATTCACACTACTTCATATAAAAGAAACCATTTTTTAAAAAAAGCTTAAAACATAAACTGAAAACCTGACTGTAAGTTTAATAACGCCAAAATTGCAATTAATCTTCAAAAGAAAATACCAGGAAGATATAAAATATTTGAAGATAACAAGCTTTTATATTTTAAAAACATTCCATATATGTAGCCCACTTTTAGTTTTCTGCTGAGCCATTTGGTTATTGTTAATCAGTTAGCTGTATTAGTTAACTAGTTCCACATCCACATTTCTAAGGAGATAGAATGAAACACTGATTAGTATAAAAGTCACTGATTTATACCATAATTTTGTTGCTCTTACATCTGTTGGTGCTCTGTCTCTCCCCACCAACTAGCATTCACATGACACTGATTTAGCATATATTAGTGATCTGATTATGAAATATTCACCCATACACTGTTTGCTTATGTTCATCCTACTCACTAATCACTGTCATTGAAAATCTGACCTTTCAGTTAAATAGTAAGATAAATTCACGTGACACTGTTGCTCTGCTTTCTTGAAAGATAGTTAACTTTGAAGATACATTACATATTGATCAGCAACAGAGTTTTATCTTTTTAGGACACTTAAATTTTCCCTGGAATGTTAACTATTCAAGCAGACATTAATTATGGGAACATTTTCAGGTAATTATCACCAAGCACATAATAGGATCCAGGAAACTAAAAAATATGTACAGGTATACATATTTTATACAAAATATCTACTGCTGTGGCTTAGCAGGGAATCCACTGAACATGATTCTTGTCAAAATTAAACATAATTGCGTATTTCTCCTTTTTTCACAAAATTCATCTATTATAGGGCTAGATTTCCCTAAAAATTATCAGTGTCAAAAGCCATATTATTTTCCCTGAATGTGGCTTTTTTTGTTTTCAATAGTACCTGATAATTTACATTTTTACGTATAAACACATATTTATTTACATATTTTAACTGTACCACAATTTTAAAACCTTTTCCTTTACAAAGGATAAATCTAATTCTCTGCTGCCTGTAATAGAGGTTTCAGTAAATGAGAAAGAAATGACAGCATTAGACTAGAAAGGAACTGAATTACAACAGCCAAAGATGAAGCATTTTGTTCAGCTGTTTCTTTCAACGCTGAATTTTGTTGTGCTTAATTTGACTCTTAGTTTTGTCTGTGAGTTTTAATTGCGCTTAATCGGTTCCCTTACCCCTCAAATCAATGGAAAGACCCTTCCGGTCTTTCCACCGTTGGCCCTCCTCTCTCTCGCTGCTTCACACATACACTTTCCCTCTCACAATCACACACAGAGTAACTTTTTGAAAGGAGTTCCTTCACATGGACTACCTCATGTTCACACCATTAAATGTTAAACAGTTTTGTTAAAAGGCCCAAGTTGCAATACTTATGTAAAATAATTTACACGAGCATCCTTAATTCTTTACAGTGTAAATCAATTAAAAAAGAATTAATACATTCTCCCATCCAGTCTCATAGATTTGTGTTGCGGGCTCACATTCTTTTGGCTAGGAAGAGTATTCAGCAGAATGGAATACATTTCAGCCCCACCCAAGTAGATATTCCCAGCAGCCCAAGATGGTTACCACAATTCTTTCTCAAAATTGCAAAACTATAAATAGAATTTATATTTTGTCCATGGAAAAGGGTTCATTTTGTCCTTTGAAGCTTTAAGTCTTCAAAGCTATACTGTTAAAAACCATCTAGTATCTGATTCCACCTAACGAAGCTAAGTAGGCCGCACAAATTGATTTGCTGTAGGGAGAGAGATGGCTGACAGCGGAACTTGCCATCAAGAGTTAATGAAAGTCCTTTGAATACTAATATTTGATTTAGTGTTACACTAAGTTTTAGTGTTTTTCTAAACTACCACCAATAAAAAAGGCAACCTGTTTTCTGGAAGCATTTCCATACGTCATCTTTGTTGATGTGGGTGTTCAGTACGTACTGAGAGAGATAACTCTGAGTAGAGATGACTTATGAAAGGTTGGGTTAAATATAGTTTGATAGTCTAATTTCCAGGCGGAGGCAGTAAAAAACTTGAATAAAACTATACAGTCATGTTTGATTTCTGAACAATTATGGGAAAGGGTAGGAGTTTTCCCAATTCAAAGGCATCTGTAATAGATGAAAATTTGCATAGAGGACTTGATATGGGCAACTTGCATTTCTGGCTTCTGTCTCCCTGCCCACCTGTTTATCAACCACCCACACATATGAAGTATTTCACAATTATCCAGGTCTATAATTATTTATGTCTATATTTTGTCCTTGAGAACAAGTAGACCAATATGCTTATATCTGAACCTAGTATATACGCAGTTAAGTGATTTTAATGCTGTTTTCTTCTTTTCAAGAAAATACTTCTTTGTTAACAGAGACTAGCCATTCTATTTTGTATCCTACGTCACAGTATAATGAGGCTGAAACTAAGATATCACTTACATTTCATTACTGTGGATTTAGTCCCCAGAACTACTCAAAATGCTTCATGTGTGTTTTCAGTGTCAAACGAAATTCCACCAAAAGATAAATTTAAGCTAGTCTGTTTGTAGAAAGGGATAACCAATAGTTGTTACATCTTTGATGGGGAAGATACCTAGCTAAACCTATACAGCCCAGTTAACATAGGGGATGAAGAAAAGAGGTGAATAAAGCAGCTTCCAAAAACTGTATTTAAAAAAAAAACAGCATTTTGATTGTGTTATTTTTCCTTACTTTATCTAGATTAACTGCTTAGACTGTCCAACTCACCAATTTTTTTTCTAATTTTCTGTTAGTTTCCCTGTGAAGACACAATCCGTATGTCAAAGGGCAAGGAAAAACATTTATTGACTTTTTATTTTCAGGCTCCTAATTCATATTCATTATTAAACAGTTGTGTGATTCATAGTAGAAGCATTTAATTAAATTTTAGTGAAATAGTCCTTCTTAGAGCCAGGAAATTTCCTTATTCCAGAAATCAAAAGATGATTTCCTCTAACATCAAAATGAATTACTAAGTAACTTTGAACCAAGATAAAATAGTCTACCATTAAGGATCCTTTTGAAATACAGGTGTTCCCTCTTCCCATTTTAACAAGGCTTATTTAATTAAAACTTCGAGAAATTAGTAAACTAATATAGACTATAAAATAATTGGCTACAAATAAATAGCTCCAAATATAAACAGGTGTTTGAAAATTATATATACTCAGTGTAGTTTTTTGATGTAAATGCTAACACTGCTTTGATTATATAAGATCATAAAAACTAGAGAAAGAAACACTTATTAAGGGAACAAATAATTCTCCTTTATATTGTTCTCTACATTAGCTCATCTGTTTATTAATAGGAGAAGGAAAGTAATTCTTTGCCAGTAGGTGGTGCTTTTGTATAAAACATCACTCAGATAAACTCATTTCTGACTAATTTTATATCTCTATACATCTTGAGTTTGTATTGCATCTCCCAAAAAGCCAGCCCCAAGTTACTCCACTTTTTTTTCTGAAATATATGCTCTTTCCCTCACTGCTCATAACGACATTGTTAGTGCCAACTAATTCTCTCCCCTGGAAAGCAGCCTAATTACATACATTAGTGAGTAGGCTTGCTTTCCTTTGTTTAAAATGGGTGTGTCTGTATGGATAATTCTTTACTTGGATTCTTTCTCAGTGAAAGAGAGTACCATACTCTCTTGACAATATGGTCAAGTAATGCTGACTCTAGCTGTGGAAATCAGTGTAATTAGAGTGTAAGAAGAGTAAAAGCATCTTAAAATTGATGCCGGCAATGTTACTATGGTTTATCCTGATCAAAGTCATTGTGATTGCTAATCTACACTTAAGGGCTTAATGCTTTTTTCTCTAGAATTCCAAGTATCTAAATTCTCCCACATTTTGGAAGGAGGACAAGTTATTCTCTTTGGGAATATATGAGGATTAAGGATTATAAACACAGTAAAATCACACTACATCCTGCTTGTCAGCAACACCAGGTTTATCAACTAATGACTATGGTAAATAAGAGGAGTGATAGCCTAAGTACCCCCTCAGGGAGTGACTAACATTAATACAATTGAGGTAATTGTGGAAAATAGAGAGTATTTGCATCTCCCGTAACTGCAAAAGGAGGAAGAAAGTCAAATTACTTAATAATTTTAATGGAGTAGAAAGTCTAAGTGTTTTAAAATCAACATTTAAACTTTCTGCAGATAATTTTCAATTTCCCTCCCCCATCCCTTTTTTCCATTCTCCCACGCTTTTTACCAGATACAGTTATTGTGTAGCATTTGCGTTCTCGTCATTTAAAATTTGAACTCCCTTCACTTTCTCTGAAGACTATGTGCTTATTAATTGGAGGGAAAATATTTATATCGATAATAAGCTTTTAAAAATAATATTCAAACACAAGCATTAGTAAATCAAAGAATTCTATTTCCAGAGCTAAACACAGTATCTAAAGGCTTAGAAATTTAATTTTGGAACTAGTCTAGGTGTAGATTCCATGAACACAGAAAATGCTTTTTCCATTGTGTCTTAAACCTTTCTGAAATGGTAACCTATATGTTTAGGGAACCTGTCAGAGACTGGAAATATGATTCATAAGGCCTGGACCAGTTAAATACCGTAATTACTACCGGGCAAATCAACAAAGGCATCCTAAATCGCTCCAAGAAGGCGATGCCCCTAAGTGCTTCCAAGCACATTATCTTCACTCTGGGCATGCTCTGGTGTCTATGCGAGTCTTTAAGCTGATGTTTGATGTAATTGTGAGTTCCTGGGGCCTCCAGGCCTCCTTCATCTGTAACTGGGTTTCCTTTCCTCCTACAGAGCTTGCACTAGCACTCATTTATCTCAGAGTTCAAATCTCTCCCTGCCTTCTACTCAAAGCCTCAACATCAAGTCAGAACCTGTTTCTCCTCCTAGAGACCGTACCACCACCCCTTCGAGATACCCACAACACACGCGCCACGAGGCGGGGAGATCTCCTGTTGACAGCTTGAGCAGCTGTAGCAGTTCGTACGACGGGAGCGACCGAGAGGATCACCGGAACGAATTCCACTCCCCCATTGGACTCACCAGACCTTCGCCGGACGAAAGGGAAAGTCCCTCAGTCAAGCGCATGCGACTTTCTGAAGGATGGGCAACATGATCAGATTATTACTTAATAGTTTTTTTTTTTTTTCTTGCAGTGTGTGTGTGTGCTATACCTTAATGGGGAAGGGGGGTCGATATGCATTATATGTGCCGTGTGTGGAAAAAAAAAAAGTCAGGTACTCTGTTTTGTAAAAGTACTTTTAAATTGCCTCAGTGATACAGTATAAAGATAAACAGAAATGCTGAGATAAGCTTAGCACTTGAGTTGTACAACAGAACACTTGTACAAAATAGATTTTAAGGCTAACTTCTTTTCACTGTTGTGCTCCTTTGCAAAATGTATGTTACAATAGATAGTGTCATGTTGCAGGTTCAACGTTATTTACATGTAAATAGACAAAAGGAAACATTTGCCAAAAGCGGCAGATCTTTACTGAAAGAGAGAGCAGCTGTTATGCAACATATAGAAAAATGTATAGATGCTTGGACAGACCCGGTAATGGGTGGCCATTGGTAAATGTTAGGAACACGCCAGGTCACCTGACATCCCAAGAATGCTCACAAACCTGCAAGCATATCATTGGCGTATGGCACTCATTAAAAAGGATCAAAAACCATTAAACGAGGACCATACCTATTTAAAAAAAAAAAAAAAATGTGGCGTTGGAGGGCTAACGTATTTAATTAAATAAATAAATAAATCTGGGTCTGCATCTCTTATTAAATAAAAATATAAAAATATGTACATTACATTTTGCTTATTTTCATATAAAAGGTAAGACAGAGTTTGCAAAGCATTTGTGGCTTTTTGTAGTTTACTTAAGCCAAAATGTGTTTTTTTCCCCTTGATAGCTTCGCTAATATTTTAAACAGTCCTGTAAAAAACCAAAAAGGACTTTTTGTATAGAAAGCACTACCCTAAGCCATGAAGAACTCCATGCTTTGCTAACCAAGATAACTGTTTTCTCTTTGTAGAAGTTTTGTTTTTGAAATGTGTATTTCTAATTATATAAAATATTAAGAATCTTTTAAAAAAATCTGTGAAATTAACATGCTTGTGTATAGCTTTCTAATATATATAATATTATGGTAATAGCAGAAGTTTTGTTATCTTAATAGCGGGAGGGGGGTATATTTGTGCAGTTGCACATTTGAGTAACTATTTTCTTTCTGTTTTCTTTTACTCTGCATACATTTTATAAGTTTAAGGTCAGCTGTCAAAAGGATAACCTGTGGGGTTAGAACATATCACATTGCAACACCCTAAATTGTTTTTAATACATTAGCAATCTATTGGGTCAACTGACATCCATTGTATATACTAGTTTCTTTCATGCTATTTTTATTTTGTTTTTTGCATTTTTATCAAATGCAGGGCCCCTTTCTGATCTCACCATTTCACCATGCATCTTGGAATTCAGTAAGTGCATATCCTAACTTGCCCATATTCTAAATCATCTGGTTGGTTTTCAGCCTAGAATTTGATATGCTTTTTAGAAATATGCCCAGAATAGAGAAGCTTTGTTGGGGCACATGTCCTGCAAATATGGCCCTAGAAACAAGTGATATGGAATTTACTTGGTGAATAAGTTATAAATTCCCACAGAAGAAAAATGTGAAAGACTGGGTGCTAGACAAGAAGGAAACAGGTAAAAGGGATAGTTGCTTTGTCATCCGTTTTTAATTATTTTAACTGACCCTTGACAATCTTGTCAGCAATATAGGACTGTTGAACAATCCCGGTGTGTCAGGACCCCCAAATGTCACTTCTGCATAAAGCATGTATGTCATCTATTTTTTCTTCAATAAAGAGATTTAATAGCCATTTCAAGAAATCCCATAAAGAACCTCTCTATGTCCCTTTTTTTAATTTAAAAAAAATGACTCTTGTCTAATATTCGTCTCTAAGGGATTAATTTTCAGACCCTTTAATAACTGAGTGCCATAAAAAAGTCAATATATATTGTTTAAAAGATATTTCAGTCTAGGAAAGATTTTCCTTCTCTTGGAATGTGAAGATCTGTCGATTCATCTCCAATCATATGCATTGCCATACACAGCAAAGAAGATATAGGCAGTAATATCAACATTGCTATATCATGTGTAGGACATTTCTTATCCATTTTTTCTCTTTTACTTGCATAGTTGCTATGTGTTTCTCATTGTAAAAGGCTGCCGCTGGGTGGCAGAAGCCAAGAGACCTTATTAACTAGGCTATATTTTTCTTAACTTGATCTGAAATCCACAATTTGACCACAATGCACCTTTGGTTGTATCCATATAGGATGCTAGCCTGCCTTGTACTAATGTTTTATATACTAAAAAAAAAAAAAAAAAAAAAAATCTATCAACCATTTCATATATATCCCACTACTCAAGGTATCCATGGAACATGAAAGAATAACATTTATGCAGAGGAAAAACAAAATCATCCCTGAAAATGTACACACTCATACACACACACACACACACAGAGGAAAAAAATAAGAAAATAATTTTCCTCACCATAGACTTGATCCCATCCTTACAAACCATCCTTTTAACTTGATGTGTATAAAATATGCAAACATGTCACGAATGTTCTTTGTCATTTCAAAATACTTTAGGATATCAATATCAGTAGATACCAGTGGGTGGGAAAGGGTCATTATATGAAAATATGAAGAAATAGCCATATTAGTTTTTCTACCTGCAATTTGCCTCAGCAACAAAGAAAAAGTGAATTTTTAATGCTGAAGATAAAGTAAGCTAAAGTACCAGCAGAAGCCTTGGCTATTTATAGCAGTTCTGACAATAGTTTTCTAAGAACATGAAGAGAACAGAATCACTTGAAAATGGATGCCAGTCATCTCTTGTTCCCACTACTGAATTCTTATAAAGTGGTGGCAAGATAGCAAAGGGAGAATCTGAGAATTTTTTAAAGATGATTTAATGAGAAGAAGCACAATTTTGATTGTGATGAGTCACTTTCTGTAAACAATCTTGGTCTATCTTTACTCTTATACCTTATCTGTAATTTACCATTTATTGTATTTGCAGAGCTAGTATGGTTTTTAATCACAGTAAATCCTTTGTATTCTGGACTTTAGGGCAGAGCCCTGAGGGAGTATTATTTTACATTACCCGTCCTAGAGTAACATTTTAGGCAACATTCTTCATTGCAAGTAAAAGAACCATAAGTGGCATTTTACACGGCTGCAAGTATTATTATATCTAATCCTATTTTAAGAGATTTTTGGTAATATTAAGCTTGAATACTGGTAACAGTGATGCAATATACGTAAGCTGCACAACCTGTATATTGTATGCATTGGTGCGTGGAGGCTGTTTATTTCAACCTTTTTAAAAATTGTGTTTTTTAGTAAAATGGCTTATTTTTTTCCCAAAGGTGGAATTTAGCATTTTGTAATGATGAATATAAAAATACCTGTCATCCTCAGATCATTTAAAGGTTAACTAAAGTGAGAATGAAAAAACAAAATTCCAAGACACTTTTTAAAAGAATGTCTGCCCTCTCACACTTTTATGTATTTGTTTTTCTTACATACCCATCTTTTAACTTAGAGATAGCATTTTTTGCCCTCTTTATTTTGCTGTTTGTTTTTCCAGAGAGTAAATGCTTTGTAGTTCTTTCTTTAAAAAACATTTTTTTAAAGAAGAAGCCACTTGAACCCTCAATAAAGGCTGTTGCCTAAGCATGGCATACTTCATCTGTTCTCGTTCGTGCCATCTGCCATGATGTCGTCACTTTTATGGCGTTAATTTCCTGCCACTACAGATCTTTTGAAGATTGCTGGAATACTGGTGTCTGTTAGAATGCTTCAGACTACAGATGTAATTAAAGGCTTTTCTTAATATGTTTTAACCAAAGATGTGGAGCAATCCAAGCCACATATCTTCTACATCAAATTTGTCCATTTTGGTTATTTTCATAATCTGGTATTGCATTTTGCCTTCCCTGTTCATACCTCAAATTGATTCATACCTCAGTTTAATTCAGAGAGGTCAGTTAAGTGACGGATTCTGTTGTGGTTTGAATGCAGTACCAGTGTTCTCTTTGAGCAAAGTAGACCTGGGTCGCTGTAGGCATAGGACTTGGATTGCTTCAGATGGTTTGCTGTATCATTTTTCTTCTTTTTCTTTTTCTGGGGACTTGTTTCCATTAAATGACAGTAATTAAAATCGCTTGTAAATGAGGGCATACAAGCATTTGCAACAAATATTCAAATAGAGGCTCACAGCGGCATAAGCTGGACTTTGTCGCCACTAGATGACAAGATGTTATAACTAAGTTAAACCACATCTGTGTATCTCAAGGGACTTAATTCAGCTGTCTGTAGTGAATAAAAGTGGGAAATTTTCAAAAGTTTCTCCTGCTGGAAATAAGGTATAATTTGTATTTTGCAGACAATTCAGTAAAGTTACTGGCTTTCTTAGTGATGCAGTGTCCGTGGTGCATTTTTTTTTTAATTAATGTTTTGCTGTTTAAATTTATTCCATTTTATTGTGTTTTTAAAAAAAAAAAAAAAAAAAAAGCAGCTTATGCCACAAGCACAAATGAGCTTTCTCAGTTTTCAACTCAAAATATTATATGAAAAGATGGATATGTGTGTTCGTGTGGGAGGGGTGTGAATTGGATAACAGTGCTTAGGGTATTACAGTATTCAGCCAGTGTGGGAAGTTTAAGGTTCTTATTGAATGGTTCAACTTCTTTACCAAAGAAGTTCCATGAAGATCTTTGATAACCTGTTTAAATGTACAGAATTTTCCAAAAGTCACTGTAGAAAGCAGTACCATAAAATGTCATTTTTAACTGAAATCTGTAGAAAGTGTTTCCAAAAGCACTTCCTTTTTTCTTCATCAAAATAATTTCTAAAGGTTGAAAACATAGGCTTATGTATAAATATTTGAGTAAATTAGCGAATTCATACACTTTTAGAGACTATCAAATATATAGATTAATTTAAAAACTGAAAAGGAAAACAAAACAGCACCAGTTAGCCAGCTGGAGAACCTGGACTTTTGCATTGGTAGCGAGATCTTCTCCAAAAAGAACACAGTTCAGGGAAATGTTGCATATGGCTTCAAAATAGCAGTGCTTTTTGCTTTGTTCTCTTGTATTCATTTTCAGCAAATGTTTATTAAGTAGTTATCATATGTAACTCGTGGTGATTCCAGGATAAATGAAGATGCAGCCGTTTCTTTTAGGAAACTTATAAACTAATAGGAGATAAAAAGCATTCTCAGGGAAGTCTACAAAGTACTACCAGGGAGTCACTTTGGCCATCCTGGGAGCAGAGCAGAGGCTCAGAGTATGGACACTTCCTAATCCACCCAACAGAGGCAGCCTTTGACTTGATTTTGAAGGTGGGCAGGCTTGAGAAAGGCCCAGAAGGGGATGAGTTCAAGGCTGTTTGTGGGCATGTGACCCCTGCAGTCACACATGGCCTTTGGTTTAATGTTCTGCTATCATTATGCTGAAATTCTTAATAACTTTGAGTTTGAATGTTGTAAGTAAAGTCCAATAGGACAATAGTCATGTGCCTGAGCAGAGGAGATACATAGGAAAAAGTGAAAGGTTTTATATTTTAGCACCTTTAATAGAGGGAAACTTGTGTTTTGCTTTTTCAACAAGTACTTCCACATTTTCATTTTGCACTGGGCCCTGGAGTTATGACACCATCCCTGGATGAAGGCATTCTACAAGGAAGAAATAGTAGATACAAAGGTACAGAGATGGGAAAGCAAGAGATAAACTTGCAGGAATTGTGGGCCTTTCCGTTTAGGTAAAGTATAGCTCTGTGTAGGGGAGCAGTAAGAGACAAGACTGGAAGAGTTAGTTTGCCTCTGATTATATAATCACAAATTTAAAAGTCTTAAGTTGAAAGATTTAGGAGAGAGAAAATTGTCAGAATTCAGTAAATGGTTAGATTAATGGTAGGAGTGGTGATAGTTAAGGAATTGTTAAAGTTTGCAATTTTAGGTTTAAATGATTAGGATGCAAGTAATGTCCACATTGGAAATTGAGAGGTCCCTGCTTTGTGAGGAGGGTAGTCACTTCCGTTTCAGTATGTTGAGTTTGACTTACATTCAGTTAGAATAAACTCAGAATATCAGTTAATGCTGGTCTGATTTGGATGTGTAGGGTTTTTAAAATTTCAATTATGTTTGGAAGTCTGGATTAAATAGAGTTACTGAATTTGGCAAAGGAACCCTATTCAGAACAGAGCATCTGAATTTTCATCTTGCGATTTGAGAAAACCCTTTTTCCATTTTGTTTGCATATTTCTATGGCATCGTTCCTATGTGTTATCCTTGCAGATTGACTTCTAAACAAGATCCAGTGATGAAGGAGGAAAGCCAACTTCACTTCCCTACTGTGCATATCCCTTAGATTCCAACTGTCCTATTGCCTGAGAGCAAATATCACCATCACCAAAAATGAGGCTGCTCTTTAACCTCTCCTGTCACAAGCCCAGCCTCCTTCCTGGGAACTTTTGTCAAGAGTTAGAATTAGGAAAACATGGGGAAAAGGTCATTGTTTCTGGCCTTACCGATAGTTTCTGTTCTTACCGATAACCTTCGCTGCCAAATTGTCAGCTCTATCGCTTCCCCAGTCTGGATTGCTTCAGACTGGAGGAAGAACTTCCAGCCCTCACATACCCATTTTTAGTACCCAACTTCTGGAAAGGATACTTACCCTTTGAATCTGGCAACTCAGTACAAGGGCCAGACTGAAATGGGAGGAAACATGAACTACTCATGGGACAATTCTGCATGGAACAGAAAGTAGTTAGGCGAGCACTTTGCTTAAACACTCCAGGACCAGAAATGTGGGGGCCTTGTTAGTTTCCTTGACATCCTCCACCAAGGGAGAGCCAATGCCTGGAAGGTTGCAATGGCAGGGACAACCTGAGGAAATAGACGCTGAAGTTGGCCTGTGAGTGGGGGCATGACACTAACAGTCCCTTCACTACAATGGACTTGACCTACATTATCTTATTTAATCTGCTTGATGACACTGTGACAAGGGTGCAGTTTTTTTCAGAGGTCTTGGTTAATAATTAAACCAACTTGGCCGGGTGTGGCGGCTCACACCTGTAATCCCAGCACTTTGGGAGGCCAAAGCGGGTGGATTGCCTGGGGCTGGGAGTTCGAGACCAGCCTGACCAACATGGAGAAACTCCACCTCTACTAAAAAGACAAAATTAGCCGGGCGTGGTGGCACATGCTTGTAATCCCAGCTACTTGGGAAGTTGAGGCAGGAGAATCACCTGAACCTGGTAGGTGGAGGTTGTGGTGAGCTGAGATCATGCCATTGCACTCCAGCCTGCGCAACAAGAGCGAAACTCCATCTCAAACAAAACAAAACAAAAAACCAACTATGCCCCTCAGAAGCTAAGTAGCATTCATCAAGTTATTTATTCTCTCTAAGCACTGAGTTTCTCTAACTCACAGTGTTTATTACTAACTCAGAGGGTTGCTGTGAGGGTCCATTAAGACTGATAGGTGCTAATCACTAAAAAAATTGGGACCCCATTCTCCCACAAGTTACTCAAAGCAAACACAATGCTACTCTGTAAAATGACAATAAAAGAATCAACAAAGTTCTGATTTTTCCTACAATGACCACAGTGTGCTATTTTATTTCTGTAGGAATATTATATTCCCAAAAGATAATTTGGTAGAACCCTATTTTGCTGATGTTCAAAGCACATACTCTACTTACAGAGAAAGCCAAGCTGTGCAGGTATTTATCCAAAGCTTCCCCTTACTGGTGCTAATCACATCAAAATACAGGCTTTTCTAGAAGTGATAGTTACAGAAACAATTACTTTCAAATTCAAATGATTTTTTTCTATAAGTATTCTGTAAGATGTGCTCATTTGTTTTTACAAATGAGAGAGCCCTGTTTGGAAATGCAAACCCATTTGCATGCAAAAGCTTACATGTAATATTCATGATCAAAATATAGGGAAGGTGCCTATTCCCACAGGAATGCTTAAGTAATTGTGGGACATCCTCCCAATTGATACCATGTAACTATTGTTTAAAAATCACAAAACAAACTAAAGCCTCTATGTACTGACATGGAAAACTCCAGAACATATTGTTAAGTAAAAAGCAGTAATAGAGCAGTGTATAGAGCATGCTACCTTTCAGGTAAGAAAAGGAGACCAAAACAGTGTTTGCTTATTTGCGTCAAGAAACCCTAGAAGAATACACAAAGAAATGAAGAAAGTAAGGCTGGGAGCAGTGGCTCACACCTGTAATCCCAGCACTTTGGGAGGCCAAGGCAGGTGTATCATGAGGTCAGGAGTTCAAGACCAGCCTGGCCAACATGGTGAAACCGCATCTCTACTAAAAATAAAATAAATAAATAAATAAATAAATAAATAAATAAATAAATAAATAAACAAGCTAGGTGTGGTTATTCTCAGCTACCTGGGAGGCTGAGGCAGGAGAATTGCTTGAACCCAGGAAACGGAGCTTGCAGTGAGACGTGATTGTACCACTGTACTCCAGCCTGCATGACAGAGCAAGACTCCATCTAAAAAAAACACAAAACAAAAACAAAAAAACAGAAATCAGAAATGAAGAAAGTAGTTACCAATGTGGCAAGGGGTGCGGAAAGAGGTGAATGAGAGGAAAGATTTAACAACGTGTGCTTTTAAATATCATTTTTATTTTTGAACAATATGAATATGCTACTTTTTTTTTTTAAGGTTTTAGTCTGGAAAGAAGCCTTCCCCAAAAAAGCAAATGCCACACACTAAATAGATTTACAGGAAACTCTCCTCTAATGAAGAGGCCTTTGGGAAATGCCAGTGTGTTGAGCAAACCTCAGGAGTCATAGGCTTGCCTCTAAGATTCTCCAGGTACAGGAGGCCTCAGCTGTCAGTTCTGGATGACAGGACCACAACCTTAAGCTTAGCAGTTTGCTTCTCTATTGATTACATTAACTGGCCGGCAAGCCTCACTTAAGCAAGCAGTTTTCTATATTTAAATCACAAATATGAATTTAGAATTCATCCTATAAGGTTTAATTTACTCTGCATAGTTAATAATGTTTATCCTATCAGCCATCTAATATTAAGACTATAAATCTAGAGATCTTGGCTGAATTTCTGTTGCTTCCTTGCTCAATGTCATTGTAAGCTGCTCCCCCATGATCAACCCAGCTATAGTATTAGAACACAGAAAGCATGTCATCCTTACCAACTCCTGTGTCCATAAAAATCAGCTGAAATTGCATGGAGACTATGTTACTTTGTGGTACTTTCAAATTCATCAGCTATGTTTCCAAGTAAGATTTGGGAGGCTGAGGATAAGATTTTTCACTATTTTCTATCTTTTCATTCTTCACATTTACTATCCTGCTTTATGTGCTTTGCATGTGAAAAAAAATTATTTGAGAAAATAAAAAAACATTTTCTTTA